ACTTGCCAGAGCTCAGTATGACACGAATGAGGGTTTCTAGACCGGCAAATTCAAATTAGAACATTTTACACTTTATGTGACATTATTAAAATACATTTCTTCAAAGAAAAGGGTGGAAGGTGGAGTGTTAAGAAGACACCCGCAGTTCCCCCTTAGTCCGCGTCCACCCCATCAGTCAGCCCTCACCAGTAAAAATAAGCACAAAAGATCACGGTCAAACAGGGAATTTACCTAATATCGCTATAATTTGCTTGAGCAATAATTGTTGTATTTGAATGGATGCTAAATAAATAAATGAAAAAAAGAAATTAAATGAGCGGTCCCACTTCATCGGCCATTTACCCCCATCCCATCACTCACCTTGAGATGCCCTTATCATCTCCAGAGGCAATTTGGCTTCAGATTTAGGACGGAGTCAAAATGTTTAAAAAAAAAAAAATAAATAAATAAAAACAAAAGAGAAAGTGTCGGAAAAAAAGGATTCCTAGAATAATTGACCTCAAAATGAAAGGGGGTCGAGGTCCTCCCCGGAAAAATGTTGTTTCCTAAATGGCGAGAAATGAGATTTCCCGACTTTTGAGGTGTATTTCAAGATTTTCCCTCCCGTGAAAACAGCCATGTCAACTTTGTCATTCTTATTACAGTAAACAGGACACATGTATGTATAAAAAATGAGTAGTTGCATAAGTAGGCCTATTTTGTTTCCCATGAACCGATGAACCCCATATAGGACGGTAGTGGAAAAATGTTGAATACTATATGTCGGGAAACGGGTTTTCTCAACTTCTGAAATGTTGGTTTCCTCTCTTGACGTTTTTTAATGAATCGATGAACCCTAAAGATGAACCGGGGGAGAGGCGGAATCATGTTAGCCCCTGGCAAATTTTTATTCCTAGATTGCGGGAAGTGAGCTTTTCAGACTTCTGAATTATCTTTTAATGACCTTTAATAAAAACAAAATCAAGGTTCACCCTATTGTAAACGGTCAGGTAAATTTTCTGATTTTTAATACAGTAAAGAGGCCCTTGTGTGTGTAGAGGTATAAATATGATTAATTGCTAACGCATTCCTTTTTTTTTGAAACGGGGTCCTCCCCCATCAAAATTTTGATTGAGCATTTCCGACATTTAATTGTCCAATTGTAACACAAAATTCAATAATCAGCTTACGGGTCCTGAAAAAGTAAGTCTAGAATTATTTTTTAAATATTTATCTATTTAATGTTTTTGTCCAAGGGGGTGTGGTCAGGACCCTGACCCCTCCAGATCCACCAATGATCTCCCTCCCCAATTCACTCCTAGATATGACACTGGAAATCGAGTGTATTTGTTTTTACATTTGGCACCCAATGGCTGCAGGAATGATTTTATCGTATACCTTAATTAAAAAATGGCGCTTTTGCAAGGGGGGGAGGGGGTATATTAAATCGCTTGCTAAATGCAGGGTGGCAGATATTGGCAGCTAAATTTGGCATTAACGTAAAGCTTAGGCTCTGCCAGAAATGTTGATGTCAAAAGCATGACGAAAATCGCCGGCAATTCTAACTTTTAAGTTGGTTTTATGAAAAAAATGTTTTTAAGCGTTTTTGGCTCATATTTAATGTCCTTTATTCTAAAAATATACCAATAATGTCATTTTTTATTTTACTATCTAATTTAGTTAACAATAGGTAAATACAGCAAGAAGTATCAAGTTGACTGCTTTCATCTAAGTAAAGTCATAGGGAGTTTTTCAAAACTGTCAATTTTATCATTTTACGTTTACATGGTTATATCACACTATGAAAATTCACTAAATATGAAATTATTGGTTAATTAATATAATTTAGGATGTTCTCGACCTCAAACAACCTTTAAAAGTTGAAGTTGTCACATTACCTATTTTCGACTTTTGGCACACTTTGAATTGATTCTGGCCCACTGTGCGTTGGTGAAATCATATTGAGATATTCACCAAAACAAGCCAAAGTCAACATTTTTACAAAATTTTGATTTTAATGTTTTTTTGAATAACTTGATACTTATATTTTATGATGGTATACTTTGTAAGTGAATTTTCTTGCCAAAACAGTGTTCTATGCACATATTATGTAATTCCAGTCATATTATTTGTACAGGTTAGTTTATCTTTGAAGCGGATTTTCTCAAAATATGGTTCTTATACACCTAAACTTTAAATTCTCACATCTCTTGATTTACTTATAGTAGGGAAGCCATGCAAAGACCAAATGAAAGCTGATAATTTGATCTACCCAAATATAATATAAACTCAAACTTTGAATTTCCAACCAAGAGACTCAATTTGTGGCGAGACCTCACAATTTATTAGCAAAACCTATTCTAAAGTTGAGACCAAAAAATCAGTATTAACAATTGCTTTAATTTTAATATTTATGTACAACTTTACATTTTCTTTTTGTTAAATGGCAAATTTCATGTTCGAGACCACGGTCTTCCTGACGGCAAACTCATAAAAAGCTTTGTGTCGTCAACAGACATAAAAAAACCAATCTGAAACTAAAAGTAAATCATAATAAACAGAATAGAGCCACTAACATTACCCTGTTGTATAGCACTGCAACCGCACTGCAAAAATATAAAAAAAACTCGCTGGGTACGATTAAGATATTTTGTAATCCGCCTTTAAGATGACATAACTAGAGAGTTTACCAAGTAGAAGATAGTTGAATATGAATAACTATAAATACAATCGAAGCTATTTGATTTATTTATTTATATTATAAGTATCAAAGTAAATCTCATGTACCCCAGGTAGTGGGGTGGCACAAGAAACACCCTTTTCAAAGGCTACAACCGTTTTGCTCATTGCACAATTCTCCATATATCTCGAGATATTCCATCATATAAAATAATTTCTAATAATCCGTTCAGTGATCTTACCATCTATCGAAGTTAAGGTAATCGGCCTAAAATTTGATGAAGTCTTCCTAGTGCCTTTCGTAAAAATTGTAATCTCAAAGGAAATTGGTACAGCACCATCTAAAAAGTTTTAGTGGGTATAATATTACATATATAAGTCTATTTAACACTCTGGCATGTATCCTGTCTGGCTCAGCAGATTTATTGGAGATTAAACTAGACAAGTTTTACGAATTTACGAACTTCAATAATCTAAACTCCTGGTCAATGAAATTAAAGTAGCAGATAATCATCGGCTACCCGCAATCTTATTTTTGAAAATACTATGTCAATGAATAAGCACGAAAAGAAGGTTCGCCAAAGTGCGTATTTTCAAATAAGACAAGTAAAGGCAACTCGGAACGTGCTTAATGAGGATGCTACTTCAATCATACTCTGGTCACATCAAGGCTGGGTGATGCGAACTCCCGACTTTGTGGAGTACCACATAGCCTCCTCAAGAAACTAACAGCTTGCCAAAAATGCTGCTGCTTGCGTGCTTTGTAAAGTGGGAAAATACGATCGCTTCACTGGCTACCTATAAAACAGAGGATTGAATATAAGGTGCTAATGCCAAAATGGAAAACAATAAATGGAATGGCAATAGCTTACATGTGAGATATGATAAATACTTATCCCTCGTCCAAATCTACGGTCATGAAACTAAATTTTAATAAATAGTCCAAAGACTCATTCCTCTCACGTTGGCCAAAGTTTCATTTTATCTGCACCAAACCTATGGAACATTCTCCCTCCTAAGATTGGGGCATATGAAACCTTGCATACATTTAAAACCGAACTGAAGACACATCTTTTTAATTGACTTACTGGACTTAATGCCTTTCTTGTACGTCACATGGTGTCCTCAAGATGGAAGCTGCGATGAAGGGTCCTACAAAGTTTATTTTCGGCGAGATGCATGGCTGTGGCAAATGTATGTTATGCCTCTGTCAGTTCAGTCGTATTTTTCGCTGTCCAGCCCTCTTTTCTTTGGCCGGCCAATGATTTTCTTTCCTTCAAGTGTTATTTGAGGGAGTCTTGTATCCATCATCTTGGTGGTATGTCTGAACTAGGCCAATCTCGTTTTATTTATGCTGTCTTTTATTGTTACGTTTATATTAAGCGTTGCTCTAATAACAGTATTCTTAATTCTGTCTAGTCTGTTGACTCCGAGAATTTTCCTTAAGCAGGTCATCTCAAATAATAGTTAAGCAATTGTTTTTTCCTTGGCTTTCACTCCCGATATTTCAGCTACATAGAGGGCTACCGGTAGAGTCTGATTTTAATTGGTGGGGTTTGACCTCCATATGTGGTGTGATGATTGCAATGCCTCGGAGAAGTCCAAGTCTTTTACATATATCTGGAGTACAGGAGTTAGTTTGGTCAATCACTCCCCCAAGGTATGTGAAGGATGGAAATGGTTTAAATAATGTGTTTCCTGTTGTTATGGTGATGCTCTTTATAGGGTTTCCGATGACTTGTACCTCTGTCATTGTCTAGCTAATTTTGAGTCCAATTTTGGAGCTTGGTGTTTACTTGGGATACAAGTGTTTTCAAGTCACTTTCAGATTTAGCTATCAGAACAATATCGTCTGCGAATCTAAAGTTGTTGATGCAGTTTGACTCTATAGAGCATAAGGACATGTTTGATGCACTAAGGAAGATAGGAGTACAAGAAGGTTACATTTGTATATTAAGGGACATATACACGGATTTAACTGCAAGAATACACATAGAAAATGATGACCCGAAGGAGGTGAAGATGAAAAGAGGAGTGAGACAAGGAAACATATTGTCACTTAGAATTTTTACTGCAACAATGGAAGAGGTGTTTGAAAAAGCTAATCTAAAAAGGAAAGGAAACATAGATGGAGAAATACTAATCTGATGATGTTGCCCTAACAGGATCATCAGTGGGAGACATGGAAGAACATCTAAATAATCTGAACAAGGAAAGTCAAAAGGTTTGCGTGAAGATGCATAAAGGAAAAACAAAATACATGACGAACTGTAAACTGTAAACAATAGCTGAAAAAAATCACAATAGAAAATCAGGGGTACACTCGCTAGTCATAAGGTTCGCTATTCATATGGTCCACTGTTCATAAGTTCTGATAGTTATAAAGACAATTGTTTATAAGGTTCACTATTCATAATTCACAGTAATTCACATAATAAACAGTCCGCTATTCATAAAGGTCATTATTTATAAGGTTCGCTAATTATAATAGAATAACAGGTTCGCTAGTCCTAAGGTTCGCTAATTATAATTGAATAACATGTTCGCTAGTCATAATAAAGGGTTCATTAGTCATAAACAAGAAAAGAGTTCGTTATTTATAATACAAAAATAAGACCGTTAAGCCCCTCTTCCCACCTAGGTTTATTTCACCTAAGAGTCGTACGATTTCTACGAGTTAAAACTCGTGATTTTTGGAAAGAACCTATACGAGCTTATTACATGTTAGCTACGAGGTACCGTACGTCTTCATGGAGTTGGTTACGAGTTATGTACGAATTATGCCGAGCAGAGCACCGAGTTAACTACGAGATTATTACGAGCGTAACAAGTTTGTACCGAATTAGATACGAGTTAGGTACGAGCCAACTCGGTGCGCTCGTACTTACTCGTACTCGTTTTTGGGTGCTCGCATCAAACTCGTAGATGACAAAACCACCGACGAGTATCCAGAGTAGTGTACGAGCTAGGTAGGAGTACCCCGAGTACTCTACGAACTACCTATGAGTTCTTCGAGTTTACTACGAGTTATCTACTCGTGGCGATAATTTTGAACATGTTCAAAATTAGCGCCATGAGTTCAGAGCTGCTACGAGTAGGTAAGAGTCCTCTCCGAGCTTTCCAAATCGTCCCACGAGTTTTTGCCGAGTTTGCCGAGTTAGCAACTCGGCATTCTCTTGTAACTCGTATGCTGAAAAAACCCCTAGTGGGAGAGGGGCTTTTGTCATAAGGTTCGCTATTCATAATAAAACAAGAGGTTCGCTATTTATAATAATAATAAAACATTCGCATTTTATAATTTAAAGAAAGAGGTTCGCTTGTCATAATAAAAAATGTAGCTAGTCATTATAAAAAAGAGGTTTAAACGCTAGTTAAAAAAAAATCCAATATTCATAATTAAAATATATATATTTATGTTTTTAAAATGTAAATATTTAAAAAATAAAGTCTATATTTAAACAACACGTACAATATTTACAATATACGTACAATATATATATATATATATATATATATATATATATATACATATAGACAAACAAAAGAATGAGAGGTTCAACAGTAGCTTTGATTAGACATATTTATGGTGCAAACACGTTATATCGTCATTGCGGACTTATAAAATCCGCATACGCCTTTAAACTAAAAGAAAATGCATACATTTAGAGTCCGTACTGAGCCCAAGAAATCCTGTCTCTTATACACATCTAGATGTGTATAAGAGACAGGTTTTAAATGATGTAATATCACAAAAAAGTTTTGAATATTAGAAAAAGTTTTATAAATATTATTGCATTATAACTATATATTGTATTCACTTGTTTAAGTTTTAAAGATTTTTTGTTTTGCATATAGTATATATATATAGGCTAATAGGTAAATATGTAAACATAGGCCCATATAGGCAATATACTGATTTATAAATGATTGATTTTGTTTATACTGTTTGTACTGCGATTTTTGTATTCACTTGTTTAAGATATTAAAGTTTTTTTAGAATAACGTATATTTTGTTATTTCTTGCAAGTGCCGCAGTTTTCATTTCACGCGAAGTGTAATAGCTTATTGAATATTTTGTTTATTACAATAATCAATAAAAAATAATACAGATAAAAACAAAAGAACTCAGGGAATGACAATAATGAAGGTGGTGGTTTCATGGGGAAAATTGTGCCAGGCGGAGTGCACTGGAGAACGGTAATGTGGAATTGAAATTGACGAAATGCAGGATTATAAAATAGCTTTACAATCTTTTTTAATGACTAGTAAACCATTTCTGTTTTCAAGCTATAATTTGCTGTTTTATTATGACTAAAACCTTTTTTTTTTTATTGATTTATAAACTATTGAATCTTTTTTTTTATATTATAAATAGCGACCAATTTTTCTTTTTATGAATGGCGAACCCCCCATTTTTTAAATAGCGAACCTCTTTTTTTAAAATTATAAATAGAGAACCTCTTTTTTTTAATTATGAATAGCGAACCTCTTTTTTTTTTATTATAAATAGTAAACCTCTTTTTTTTAAATTATGAATAGCGAACCTCTTCTTATATTATAACTAACAAACCTTATAAATAATGGCCCTTTATTTATATTATGAGTAGTGGGCCCTTTTTCTTTATTGTGACTAGCGAACCTTATTCCTAGTGGTCCTTTTATTAAATTATAAATAGTGACCCCTTTTCTTGATTATGAATAGCGAATCATTTTCTTCATTATGAAAAGCGACCCTATGGTATAGGGTAAGCTAATGTTATGAATAACGAACCTTATGAATAATGAACCTTATGAATAGCAAACCTTATGACCAGCGAGTTTGACCCGAAAATCAACAAATAGAGAAAGTGGATAAGTACAAATACCTAGGACAGACAATAAACATGGACAACAACACAGAAGAACAAATCGAAATCAGAGTGTAAGAAGGATGAAGATGCTATGGAATGGATTCAAATATTTTGACAAATAGGAACATACCAATGTCACTAAGGAAAAGTGTTACTAACAAAAATGACATATGGATCAGAATCATGGTCAACAACGAAGGATGTGGAACAGAAACTAATAACAATTCAACGAGCAATGGAAAGAAGAATGTTACACCTCTCACTAAGAGATAGAGTTCGGCACACCAAAGTACGAAAAATTACGTAAAAAATATTTTAGAGAAAATCAGAGAAATAAAATGGAGATGGGCAAGACACGTTTCAAAAATGGAAGGTAACAGATGGACTAAAATAGTAAAAAATTGGCAACCAAGGACTGGAAAAAACAGAGGACTACAAAAAAGAAGATAGAGAGATGGCATCACTATATACGTGGATATTGCAAACTGGGCAAGAATAACATCAGACAGAAAAAGATTGAAAATGTTAGAAGAGGGCTTCACACATCAGTGGGTGAAACGGCCCGATGATGATGATGATGATATCTGTCCATTATCTTTCCACGACAGTTGCCAAGTGGACCAGTACATCGAAGTACTACTTGTATCGAAAGATGTACTTGATTCTTTAAAGTGCACACAAGCATTTGTGTACACTGGGCCTATGGTGATATATTCTGCTACATAATCCGGTCTCAGCTTCTTCTTAATTTTATGTATAACGTTTTTAAATTTTTTTATAAATTGTTTTTAAACACTCTCTTATCCACGAGGATTGTTACGACTAGATTTAGGCTAACCTGACTAATACACCAGAAAGATAACTAAGCTAAAGATTGCAATCAATATGTTCGAGCGATTCTTTCATTTTACTATAATCTTCATGTGTATTATAACTTCTAATATGTGATCAGTCTCCACCAGCTGATCCCTCTTTTTAAGAGTAAAAACTAAAGCTAGAGTTATCGGAGTTTGATTCTCGCGAAATCTCGTTCATTGATATGATGATGAATGTAATCACCGACACACTAAACTGAACATGTTTAGCACATTCCTTGCTGGCATAAACCAAATCCTATCTTATATCTCTATATTGTACTGCAAATCATCGACAATCATTAGATCAGTACAATTACGATCGAGTGCACAAAAAAACAATGAAATGATTTAAGTGTTATTATATATGGGCTTCTATGTACACAACCAAACAATGTTGTTTTTGCTGACATACAGAGTTATCGGAGTTTAACCCTCTCGAAATCATTAGATCGGTAAAAGTACAATCGAGTGCACATATAAACAATTAAATTATTTAATTAATTATTATTATTATTATTATTATTATTATTATTATTATTATTATACATGGGCTTCTATATACACAACAACACAATATTGTTGTTTTTGCTGACATACACATTTAGTCCATACTTTTTACTATCAAAATTAGTCAATCAAACTGGCAGATATTTCGTTTCTAACACACTACAGAAAAATCTCCTGACCTTAAAAATAATTCCTTAACATTAAATGTTAAAGATGTAAATAAAAGATGGGCTCAGAGCTTCAAAGGAGCTTTTTTTGTTTTTGTAGTTAGCTTTGATCAGTAGAGTAAGAATGTTTGATCTTTTGCTTAAATCACTGCTATGTCACCTTAGAGGTAATGTTTTGATTGATTAAACACTTTTGTTACTAGTGCATTAAGCTTGCTAATATGGATAATTTTTTCATTCCTGATGATGATATAATTAATGTTGAAAAATTGAATCCCAACACGATGGCGTGCATTTCAATATCTGGAGTATGTATTATACTTTCTTATATAAAAGAAGTATTTCTGCTAGAGCAAGGAAATGAAAACAATTTTCTGCTAAGATAGCTTCTGACTCTGCTGCCATAATATTGCTAAGTAACGTTGCTGGACCTAAAATACCAATGGACACTCGAATCACTCACTACGTGATACAAAAAATGTATTTTTTTGTGAAACCATAAACAACCAAAATCACATTTGATAGCCCTGTCTTTCTCTAAAACTACCGAAGCACAAGCACCACTGACACTTGTCCCTGTTTAGCTTGGCCTTTCTCAGATACATAACAGAGCCCTAGCTACATAAAGTTTTCCAAACATGGTGGCAAGTTAGAAATGATTACCGTACTTGAAGAAAGATTAGGAGGCAACTTGCTGAGAAAGAAAGGGTTTTTTTCTCCTACAGAAGTCGAAAGAATGGGGAAAAAAATACCGTTGGAAACTGACGTATGACCACCACAACGCCCTCTATTATTTTATAACTAAATTTATAATTGAAGACAATACAGTAATACTAAAAATTGCAAATTGCAAGTGAAGTGCTGCGAAGTACAACTGCATATAAATGTTCTTCGAACAAAATTATTTATGCGAGTCAAGTGAAAATAATTAATAATCAAAATATAACAAATAATATGAGACACGACCCATTGTCTATATTGGAACACTTCTCATTGGGTAACAAAGTCGTAATTTTTCATTTTTGTCAAAAAGTCTCTATAGTGGTGAATTATGGTTTAGGTTTTTTTTAAATAAAGTTTCAACAATTTCTATGTATGTAGAAAATGTAGTTGATTACCAAAGGTTACAATTTCTATTTTGAAGACTGCATGGTCTTGGAAGTGTACATATTTTTATGGGGCAAGTTTTCAAGGGCGTGTTTTCTAAGGGCGAGTTGACTGCCAAAGAGTGTTGCCAAAGTGCAAGCCAACGTGTTATTTGATCACATGTGCGAGACATCGCAAGTGTGAGCCAGCGAGCCATGACGTCACGACAATAGATACGAGACGTTACTCGAGTTGTGCGAGGTATCGGCTGAGATTTTTGGAGTACAATTCAAAAAACAACTATAGGTCTAATAATGAATTATTGTGATGTTAAATAGACAATGTTAGCTATCAAGGAGCGACGTTGTTTTTTATTGGGACTTTCGTCCCTTCAAGGCTAGGCCTAGCATCCTGACTAGTCTAGGCCTAGAGTAGGATAAGGCTAGCGCGACATGCTGACGTTGGTACGTGTTGGTTAGTCTACAAACGTCGCCTAAAGTAATTAATTTTACCCAGCAGAACGAAAAAAGGAAACTCCGCTTTTCAGTCGTCTTAGGCCCTTGATTTTTGACAAACAATGACCTTTCAGAGGTCAAATTGCTGTCAAGAATATGAATTGGCTGCTTCGCAGCAATCATTTTAAATCCTTCTATAGTATATTTACCTTCCCAGTTATGTGAAAATTGATTGTCTCTTCCAATTTTTTCAGAAAGTCTGTTATATCCTTGTTCTCGAAGCGCATTCCTCATAACATAGAGTATATTTACATTCGAGTCTTGTCTTTGCTTCCATTTTACAAGCATCTGCAGAACTGCATCTTCTATCTTCTGGTTATCAGCTGCAATACAATGAATTTCTGCCAAACTGAATCCCAATCTGATTGCTAGCTGCTTCCAGTCACGACTGACACATTTACAAACATCCAACAAGTCATTCGCACTTAAATTCTCTAAATAAATTATTAAGATAAATAAGAATACTATAAATACTATAGCTAATAAATAAATAAATAGATAAAAACAACTGAGATAAACTTAATTTTTTTGATGAGTTGTGACTGCAGGTAAAAGAAAATCCGACGAACTGTATTTTTTAATACAGTCGGGCAGCTGATGAAGTAATTGGGTATTTTAATAAATGCAGTAAAGCTTACATATAAACAGCCATGTCAATTTTACCAATTGCATACTGTATTGTTGAGACAAAGGCATACCAAATATAAAACAATTAATAAATTAATATATTAAAGTATTATAATACCTGTCATTGATGTATCATCTAGAAACAACCTTTTAAACCGTGATGTTTCAAATCCTCTGCACCCACATGGCAAAATTTCTTTATGTTTGCATATGTCTAGTAGATGCAAATGTGATTTGCTCAAATTGTTATATTCCTTACTGCAGGATATAACAATTTGGTATTCATATCGTTGCCGTCTCCCAATACGTAGCTTTTGTAGTATTTCTTCAATCTCTTGTAAAGCCTGCAAAAATAATGTGTTAGTATATTTTTCTATTTGATAGGGTACATGGTAGACTTGCCACAAGTCTCTTCTTTTTTTTTTAATTATTTTTCTCATTCTGGACAGTGCCACCAACGAGAAAGTTAATTTAGAGATAGACGGAATAATTCGAAAAAAAAAAAGAAATCGAGTATGGGACGCCAATTAAATTAGGTATGGCGCGCACTAAGTGCAATAAAGAGTGAGTAACCTAAAATTAGGGCATGGAACCCAGGCTAGGTACATGGTAGTGAAAACCAACATAAAATGAACAATATCTTACATTCTTACAGACTTGAGGGGATGGTTCGTGTTCTTGCATAGCTAGCCTTTGATTTCGTAGAGTTGATGAAACGATCGTCATCTATAGAAAGAAAAGCTTATTTCATAACGTTAGAGAATTATATTGTATTCTAATACGCGAGATGAATTTTACTTAGATATTCCTACAAACGACCTTATTGTAGTTGCCAATGTGTTGTTATGTACGATGGTTTTACATGCATTGTAGCGATAATGCTTAATTAAAATTAAATTGTCTATGTGTTATTCAGTTTAGTTGTTTTACTTTTCTGAAAAAATCAGTTTGGTTAATACAAATACATTTCGAGTTAAAAACATTTATAGTAGAATATGACTAACCTGTAGCATCCTACGCTTTTTGACTGAAACAATTGCCAAACTCAGAATATGATATTCATCCAAGTTAAGAACAACTTGTTCTGTTGACATGTGAAACACATTTTCACTTTCTTGCTTAAATACATTTAAAGCTTTTGCAAAAATTTGATGAGGTAGATCATCTGGTAAGTATCCTTGGAAATCAAAAAAGCAAGTAACAGCTTGATTCAATTTGGCGAATGACTGCATTGATTCCCCAAGTCTAGGTTGAAATCTTGAAGGAACAAGGTACTGAATACCATCCTTTAAAAAAGAGTAGCATACCTATTTTATTTCTATCCTTCAAACTGATAGCATTAAATATTCACATACATATGTGAACTTTCAAACCATCAAGGAATGTGATCCAACGGAGTACATTATTACGTCATTTAGTTTTCAAATGTAAAGATATAGCCTTATAAACACAATAGTTTGGAGTAATATAATTAAAGAATGTTAGCTATCATTTACTGTTAATACAACAAAAAAAAGTCAAACATAAAATAACCTGAAAAGTCTTGCTCTCACAGATCAGACCAAATTTTTGCATCAAGACAACATGAAAATTAAAGACTAACTTATCGTCGAGACGTAGCCACAGATGCTTCAGAAGTTTCTCTTCCAAAATCCCCTTTTCAAGCTGTTTCCAACATTCTTCAAATTCGGGCTAGTTAAAATTGATAAACTCATATTCAGTAAGTTGGACCGACCAATTGGACATCATGGTACACTGCTTTATGTTTATGTAATAACACCGCACCAGCATCACAAGCAACAACAAAATACATTTGCTGAGTTTGTTTATTATTGTTTTTAGTATAGCACACAATACTGGCATTCATCAAGTTCATTAAAGAGCTTTCTATGTTGCTACACATAGGAACCAAAAAAAATAAAACAAATAAATAAATAATAAAAGTTAAACGTAGGCCACTATGGTATTTAGGAAGCCTTTTGGATATACACATATGTACTATGATGTGAGTTGTGATAATGGTAGCCAATATAATTTTGAAAATAGCTAGAATTGTTGTCATGACCAAGGTTGGCGCCAGGGTAATGTCTGACGAGTGTTTGATGTACCCAACAAATAGAGCGTAATTTCTCGAAGTGAACTATAACACGTTGGGAACGGCATTTGTAATCGGTATTCACATCTCCCACTAGCACCAATCTTGTCAATGACTAAAATAAGGTATAACCTCATATCACTATCCAACAGTAATTCATAAGGTGCTTGCTTTTGGATGAATAATTAGAAACGTATCTTAGCTTACTTCAAGATCTTCTGGCTTCAGAACTGTATTCACGGTCTTATACATATCAACTAACATTAGTGGATTTATCACAACGTTTTCCTTTAATGCAGCAACTTCAGGGAAAAAAAGAACTTGACCGAGATCATGTAAAAATGTTAGAACATTTGTTGTAGATTTATCACCCTCTATTCCAAAAGTTGAGGCCAATACTTTAACCTTAAAAAAAAAAAGAAAATAAAATAAAAATAACTTAACAATTTTGTTATAGATACAAAAAAACATTTTCCAACTATCACGTTAGAAGTACTTTTGGCAAACTATATATATGGGTGTGATATGACATCATCATGCCTGAAGCCGTAGGCATGATTTTTAAACAGTGAGTAACAGTATCAGAAAAGGCCGACTTTACGCGTAAATTCAAATGTGGACCCATTTTACGCAAAAATATTACAAATCTGGACCATCTTTCTAAATATTAAACATTTTAAGATAAATTTGAGAAATCTGGACCCATTTTTCAAAAGTGGACCATTTTTATGCATAAAATTACATATTTTGAACCTACGTTATTCATTGTGAACACTTTAGAAAAATAGTGTGAGACTGTCAAATAGCTGGCTAGGGCATTGATTATGCCGATATACTAATATAATAACATTATAATACGTTAAAGAAAAACACATTGGGATGTTGCGAGAATCAAACCAGCAAGCATTGAAGAACCAACGCTTGCTAGCAATTTTCAGTAGGCCACTTTTAAAATCGTCAATATTATTTTATTTCTTGAAAAATATAGATGCCTACCTCTTCATACGTCATTGTGACATTTGTTTTACTTTGTTCCTGTAGTCCCATCTGCAATTTTAACCAATTTAAAGGAATAGTTACTGGCATCTTTTCTTTGGTTTCCCAAATTATTTTTTTTAACTCGTTGATTTTTGTCGATGGTTGCTTATTGTCGATGTCAAACAATTGTGGGTACACAAGTGATTTATATGCCTTTCCATCAATGACCTCCTGTATCTTGCCCCAAATTTCATTTACCTATTAAAAAAATGTTTTATAGTAACGCGTCTATACAGTATATTAGCATTTAAATTCATTATACATCCATTTCCATGATAACCAAATCCTGTTAAAATGTATGATAAACGTAATAAAAGTTATGATAAAATTTAAGACATAAAAAGATAAAATTGATAAAATCGATAAAATATTGATAAAAATGATAAAAATTATGAATTTAAAATAATTATTAAAAGCATTTATTGTTGTTAAATAAGCGCCATAAGAGCACGGTTTCTTTACGAAACGACACCAACGAGTTATTGTAAAAGGCCATTTTTTTTTCGAAGGGGATGTG